TATTCGCGAAAAATTAATTCCTTCGGATAAAACTTTAATTCACCATTGAAAAAAAATTACAATTCATCGCATCGTGAATTAATAATAATAAAATATAATAAGTGACGAATAAAAAGAAAGAAAGAAGAATATTCAGAAATATATGGTTATCAGAAAAATGTAGGAAAGTAAAGATGGAAGATATCTTTACTTTTGGAGAGGAGGTAATAGGACTGGAATACGAGTTAAATGCCAATTTATGTTGTGAGAAGACAATAATCTATCAGAATTGATGTACTTACATACCACTCGGTCTTTTATTAATCCAAGAATAATCCGTCGTTCCAGCCAGTTTCTATTTACGCATGGCGCAAACGACACGCTGTGAAACGCGAATTTTACGAGACCCGCGGACCGAGGTTCACCGCGACGAATTACATTATAGTAAAAAGCTCCATGGACATTCTTTCGTTTCGTTCCTCGTGGAAGGGACCTGCGCGACGCGTAGCGTAAGGGCTACTTTTGCCGCATCAGCTTCGAAGAAACGATCGTTCAGGGCGTAGAAGAAACGTCAGCGAGCCGAGAATTCATCAGCGAATATTTCACCCTTTTCTCGGCCGTTCCTCGACGCGCGCAAAAAGAAGGGAAAAAAGAAGGCGAGGGAGGGGGAAGCAAGAAAAGAAGAAAAAGAAGAAGGGAAAGAAAAAAAAAAGGGGAAGAAAAAAAAGAAAGAGGAAAGAAGGCAAAAAGGAGACGAGAGGAGGAGAAAGAGAGAGAGAGGTTCAGAGGCGGAGAAAAGGAGAAAAGAGACGTTGGTTTCGCGAAGGAATGCAAATCGGGGACTGGTCACGAGTATTCTAATGCGCGAGCCCTTCAGGCCGGGCCGGGATCGGGTGAAACGAACGTCCGAAACACATCCCTTTGATATCAGTGACGCTATAAAGATAGCGAGGAGCTGCTGGTCGTTAATATCGTTGCTCGCGTGTTTCTGTGTTGCGCGAAACGGCGACGTATGGAGGCCTTAAAGCCCCCCCCCCCATTCCCGCCGCGTGAAGGCATTCGAGATAAGCGCGGCAGCTTACAACAAGGTGCACCAGGTGGTAATTCGCACGTTTTAAAGAGGATGTATCGTGACAAATTTAACATTAGTCGCAGATATGTAGATTTCGCGTGTTTACAGCCTACCTATTCCAAAAGAAATTGCTCCCGGTTCGCGTATCTGATCTCCTCTCCTATTTATCCATGATTCTTCCCTCCCGCGAAAAAAGAAAAAAAACTACCAATGAAACTGCACGCTGTACGAGATGCACGATAGTCTGGAACAAGTTTCGATCGTCCTTTCGATTCAAAGGAAAATACGGCGCGAAGATAGATTGAAAACCGCGCGCGAGCTCTCTCTCTCTCTCTCTCTCTCTCCCGGTGTACGGTTGCGGTGATATTTCAACGCAGGAGGCTGGGGAAATAGATTTCTCGGGCGGAGGGGAAAAAGGAGTTCAGAAGCGCGGTTACACGATCGAAACCCCGGGATAACCTCGAAGAAAATGCCGCGAGAAGAGGCGAGAAGAGATGAAACAAAGATAGAGAGGGAAGGCGGGCAGAAGGATGGTAGTAAAGTTCACGGAAGAAACGCGTGATACGTGGAAGGCGACCACGAAGAAATGAACGTTCCCAAGGTGCCCAAGGATTTCGCTTTACGATTGCAAGAACGATCCGCGAATTTTTCTTCGTCCGCTTCTCCGCCTCTTTTCTTCGATCCTTGCCTCCTTCCCCGAAGTATTCGTGACTTCTGCCTATATTTTCTCTCGAACGGCGTAATCCACGCCGGTAGGATAGGAGATAAACGGACGAGGGTATCGTTCGGTGATAATGTGGCGTAAAAAATTATGGCGTAACGGGATCGACGATCTGCCTGCTCGCTTCGTTTCTCTAAATACGATATAGTAGAATATCTCGTCTCGGTTAATTTCAATTCGTTATGGATTTCGTAATGTTTGTAATTAATAATCTGCAAGGAATATATCGCGTTTTTACACTTGGATTAATCTCTCTGAAAATCTTTCGAAATCAACGTGGAAACGAATTGTGATAAAAAAAATATATTAGATTAATGCTTGAAATTAGCAAACGTCTTGTGGTGACTTATGGATAGGAGTATAAATAACCTGTTTCTGACGTCACCTTAGGAATTGCTCGTCTTTTTGCACGCTCCAATGGAACCCCGAGAGGACTCGTCGAACGAGATTTTTTCGATCACGTTTAAATTTCTCGATTCGCACGCATTTTCGATTCGTGCCTTAGTGGCACGATAATCGGCCTCTCCGCTCTGGCGAGAGTGAAACCAAAGAGAACACGTACCATAACCACTTTCGATGTAATCTCTCTTTCGAGACCGCAGCTGCAGCGTGCCGCATCGGTAATGCAGGTCGGTAGCATTGTCACAGATAATTCGAGTCTTGATTTTTTAGAAAGGCTGAAAAACGTCACCGAGACGAATAAAATCCTGGATCGAAGGAATCCACAAAGACGAAACTGGAATTCCCCACGCGAAATTCACGATCGCTTTATGACGATAAATCGTCGCGATCGATGCTCGTTAATCGTAATCCAACGAGCGATGCAATTCGTTGTGCGTGATTTTTTTCTTTTTTTTTTTACCATTGCCAGGCGTGTACGAAGTGCGGCGGTACACCTTTGAAAATGTGAGACGCGCAGCCAGTTCGAGATGAGCGGCCGGTTAAACGTAATTTGTACAGGATCTCTGAGAAGGTGAGAGAAGTTCGCGGTCAAGGCTCCTCCGTTCGAGTCATTGACATCGCTTGCTAGCACGAACAGACTGATGTTGCCCATTACATCGGCCTGCTAATAAAACTGCAAAGAAGTTCGTTGTACAATTGCTTCATTGTCGCTCGTCGCGTGTACGTCGCGTCTCCTGCCATTTCGTTCTCTTCTCTCGTGAGTGCCGTTGAATTGTTCAAAGATTCATCGTCGTTCCACGCGAGGGATTTGTCATTTCGACGGAACGAACGTAATTGCAACAAGTTACGTTGCTTGCGATATAAGCTTTATATCTCGAGCGATATTAGAGTTTAACTTACGAAAATATTATCACTCGGAATTATTTTATCCATCGTTTCCCAGACTTTTCTCGAGAAGACTGTTCGAAATTGCGGAACAGTTATTTAACAAACCATTGTTAAATAACACCCTCGAGAAAGGAACATCGTGAAGATCGTTACATTAACTGGAAGAAACAAGTACTTCGATAATAGTCGCGTTCTTTCCGACTCTAATTCGAGTTTCTCGAAATACTCAGAAATAACGGCAACGCGGCAGTTTCGAGAAGCATTAGAGTTCCGCGTTTGTCCGTGGAACAACATTGTCGGCGTCGTTCATCAACGATGATTTCATTTTAATACGCGTTCGGGCGTAATTCTCCGCTTTTTTTCCTCGGACGTGCCTCTTTTTCCTACCCTCTTCCGTTCCTTCTCGTTCCACGCCGGACGAAATCTATTATCTCCGATGACTGTTGTTTTTCGTCGCTTTCTGCGAATGTCCGCCGGTGAACGTCCTTCCCCTCCTTCGACGACGACGACGACACGACGACAACAACGATGTCAACGACGGCCAGCAACATTTCTTCGCGTACATCGTCATCCACACAGGTGCACCGTCACCCTTCCCCCTCCTCCATTATCCATTATTCTTATTATTCCTCGCCATCTGCCGGTCGCGAGATATCGATCGTTACGTAGCTATCCTGAGCCCGTGTCACGTCTGTCTGTACTACCTTAAAGACCGGAAGCGATTACGAGGCGTCAAATTGCTAATGTTTGTATTACGTGGCCGATACGTCTCGGATCGGAACAACGATCCAGGATTCCTGTCCATGGCGTGTAACGATTCTTAATCCCACGGTGAGCCACTTCTTGCAATCGTGCCTGCTAATTATTTCGTTTCGATCGATCTTCCCTCCATGTTACGTTATCGTTACTCTTCTTCTTCTACGAGTTTCGAGTTTCGTCCGTGGGAGAACAAAAGTAATTTGGTAAAGTAAACTTTCGAAAAGTGGGGGAAAATAACGATCGGTGAACCTTGAATTTCAATCTCGTTACGTCATGAATTTAAGCGTCGAATATTTTAAATTTTGGACAAGGCAAGCTTCGAGTATGTTCGAGTATTTGCTTCGAGAAGAAATATTTGGACACGTCTGACAGATGTATATTTGGTATTCCAAGTACCTAGCATTATGTACATCTCGAAACAATGTTAGAACGACAGGTAGAGGCAAAATGGCGTGGTCTCGGCGTGTAAGCCGGGGGTCCACGGTATCCCACTATTAACTATGCGAGACGCGGAGGCGTAACTTCCTCCGGCCCGACTTCCGCTCGCCGGAAACGTCCTTCTAACCGCGGCTGAATCCTTAAATGAAGACGATCTCTGACAAGGCCCTTCTCCTTCCCGACGTGCACCATCGACGTGCGAACTGACAGGAAATTCTAAAACCGTGCTTCTCAGAAGTTTGTTGTATTACCGGAGCGAACCGGTCCACTTACCGGACCATTCGTTATTTTTCGAAAAAGTTAGAAGAGAAACAGGAAGTAATTAAATTATTATTGCTATACACCTTTAAGATAAATCTTTACCTACCTCTGTATATAAATATTTATCGAAAATATTTACCTCGTGAATTTGAATCCATTCGTTGCTGTAGAAAATGATTGAAAATAAAAAAAAAAAAAACGAAGATTTCGTTAGCATTATAAAAATTTACGAGGGTTAATAATATATTCATTCACCCTGTTACGAAGAAACTTTCAAGTCGTATCCGTAATAAACATATTATAAAGAGAGAAATAAATAGAGGATACGATTTATCGAAATTTAAAAAGAAGCGAATATTAATAACGATAATAACGATAATAATAATATCAATGATAAAGAATGATCGGTATTCAGATCCAGTGTGTGCAAAAAGAAAAAGAAAAAAAAAAAACAAGCGCTTTATTTTCGATTGATTACAGTAATCGATACGGATTGACGAACGAAGATCTGAACAGGCGGTGGAGCAATCCGAACCAGGTGCTCCATCCTGTGATCTATCACACGAAGGGTCTGATGGAGTACTGCACGAGGGTGTTGCAAAGGCCTCCCTATGTTTTCGTCGACTATCACGGCCATTCACGGAGGAAGAATGTGTTTCTGTTCGGTTGCTCAAGGTCGGGTTCTTGGAGTGCCGCGGACAGGGCGAAACCGGACCAGCCGTCTCAGTATTTGGTAAGGGGACGAAAGAGGAGCGAGGGGGAGAGCCTAGGGTATTATTTTTAGACGCGCAGTACGGGTTACATGCACCGGCAACGAGAACTACGAACGGTAATCTAGCGCGATCTATCGAAGTCAATTTACGAGCGAGCGGTTCTCCGCCAAGAGGGGAAGTATCAGAGGCGAAACTCGCCTCAACCGATGTAATTTACGGCGGGCAGGATCTGTGCATCGATTCCGTCTGCTCCAATTTTACATATTCACCATCACGAAAATGAAAAAGATCCCATTTCAATTAGATCATTAACGTTTCTTTTTTTCTTTTTTTTTAAGATATCGAAATTTCAAAAGTTCTTTCCTATTTTCATACGAAATTCTCGAAACTCGGAGAAAAAGTTTGTACGAATGATCTATGAGAATGTTTCTAACGTATGAATATTTTACTTAGTTGATAAAAATTGAATAAATTTTAAGATAGATCATACGGTAAAAATCTTATCTATAATAAAAGATGATTGTTGTTATTATATTATCGAGTTCTTAAGCTTCGAGGAGAAGCTTCAAGGAAGCTTCTAGAAATAGAATATTCTTCGGGTTTCGAGAATTTGGAGAAACAATTTTATACAACAATCGCATCGAATTCTAATTATAATTTTATTATTAAAATCTTAAACGATATAGATGATGATATAGTGAATTCTCGTAAGATATATCTGCCGCGATACACGTTTCAGACGTTGCCGTATCTCATGCAAAAAATATCTCCAGCGTTCGCATTGCCACTGTGCTCGTTCAAGGTCGAGAGGCACAAGGAGTCCACGGCTAGGGTAGCCATATGGCGGCAGTTAGGTGTTTCGAGGTATTGCATACGGCTGTTACCGATTTATCTTCCTTCAAGATCGATTAGACTGCATTTAAACTCATGCTCGATCTCTTTCCTCTCCGATTTTGCGCAGAAGTTACACGATGGAGAGCAGTTTTTGCGGATGCGACCAGGGATTGCTGGCGGGTTTGCATCTGGACACGAAACACTTGAAGGCCATCGGCCAGGATTTCTGTCAGGCCCTGTCAATGATGAAGGATTATACCGAGAGTTGGAGTCTCGACAAGTAGGTTGAGAGATGAATAATCTTGGTGTGACAAAGTTTGAGGGAAATTTGATCGGTGAGGCGAAGATCATATAATGATCATATAATGTAAATGAACGTAAAGGATTTCTGAGCACAGGTCGTTGGAAGAGGAGTGTTGCCCGCTAAAATGCATTTCGCAGAAATCAAAAACCGTTGCTAAATGTATTCAGGATAAGCCTGCGGCTCTTCATCTTGCCGCAATTCCTTAACGAATGATTAAGCAACGATTAAAGGCAAGATTTAAGGAAGGATTTGTATTGTAGAAATTTTTTCTCTATGAAAATTATACGACTAACTTTGCTGTGATCATTATTCAATTTTTATCGAGTTGATTAGAAATTATCGTTGATTTTGTGAATGTAGAAGTATATCAATTTATTATTATTATTTTTATTATTATTATTATTATTATTACGTGTTCTATTTTAAAGTCATTTGAAAAGCTGTTTTTTTTCATATATCTTTCAAGATGTGTGCTAAGAATTTACGTAATTCTTATCTAAAGAATCGAGTATCCAAGTGTTCAAGTATTCTACTAATATTAAACAATTTTTTATCTTCTTCTGAATTAAGATTTTTAAATCTAATCGTAAGTGGATTGTCCAAAATTGATAGAAATTTTTTATCGATCATTTGTTAATATGTAAAATTCACTCACTACGTTTATTTCAAATATTATATTTAATATTTATATTTAATATTAACATTGTGTGAATATTGTTGAAAATTGAAAATTAATTTAGTAAAAAAATCCGCAACTTTAAATTTCTCGTCAACTCAATATTTCTCAATCTCATTTCATATAAAAAAAAAAACATTTAATATTTTAAAACAATCATCAAGTATTAATACTTCTTTCGTATTTTGAAAATTTCGTATTATGTATAATACACTTATATTTTACTAAATTTAAACTGAATCTTGCCTGATCAACTTTCTAATAATGACGAATAACTAATTAATCAACAATTAATTAACAAATAACAGATAATGAAACGTTTTTAAAATATTATTATTATTATTTTCTTACCTTAATAAAATTTCTTTCTCTTCCCTAGGATTCCTATGGGAGAAGGTATTCCCGAGGAGACAGGATGCATGGAAGATGACATTACGTCTAGCTGCGAGTCAGAAGAATCTGATTTTGAGACTTAAACAAATTTTAGTTTACAGATTCTTAGACAACGATATCGACGATTCGTAGTTTCTTTATAAATAGATCGGAAGGTTTGTACAGGTTTTTGGCTGCGAAATAAAAAAGAAAAAGAAAAAAAAAAACGAAAGAACAAACCAAAGGCAAGGATTCTGTACACTTTGAAGAATTTTTATTTAAAACTCGTAACAAATGTCAAGCTATTTCCTACGAAGAACCTATCTAAGAAATTAAAGCCCCTTTTCCATTGTACATAATAATTTCGAAAATGAACGCCTCGCTCGCTACAAATGTAAAATTGAAACTTCTATTAAATTTGAGCATCTTAGACGCGCGAGAAATCTCACCATGCGCGAAAGGTGCGCTCGCTCCTATTAGAATTTCGTTCGATTAAGCAACGATTAACGCCAAGAACAAACTAAACCAAAGGAGAATTCATTAATTTCGAAATTAAATGGCTCGAACAACCAATGTGATAGAAAACTTAAAAAAAAAAAAAAAAAAAATCCAAGAAAGCAACTCGAAGAAGTTAAATCGCTGAAACGAATGATTTTGATTTCTTTGTTTTTTTTTTCGCAATTATTTAGTTAAAGCATGAAATTAAATAATTCAAATAAAGCAAAAAAAACCTTTATCCTGTTTCGCTATATATATATATATACCACACTGTTTACATTACATATTCTACATGATATTTTAATCAAAATGTGATCATAGAAAATAAAGCTTACTTATTATAATAGAGCAAATATATGTCGCTATAAATTTTCATCCAAAGCTCGCAAGCATTTGAAATTCTCTCTCGCATCCTTTCTCGCATCTTTTATAATCGCTAATCCTTAATTAATTGGTTCAGTCTTCTACAAGGCGTTAAGATACAGTCGTTAATCGCAGTTAGTTCATTACACGAAAATTTTACCAAATTTAATAATTGTGTTGCTCAATCTTTAATACAAGCTGCATACAAGCGATACATATACAATGCTTGGAACGATATCAGAAATATAACCTTCAATCTAACAAATTACGGGAAAGCGGAAAGATAAAGAGAGGATTCGTTTAAAACGTAGTAAAACATACATTGCGCTCGACGGTTGTGTTGAATCGAAGCTCGATCGATGGGATGTGCGTGCAACGGATCGAATAGAAAGTATATTGAAAAAGAGAGAAAAGAAAGAGAAGAAATCATTTTCTTTTCTTTTTTTTTTTTTTTTTTGCGGAAAGAATTTTTGCATTTTAAGAAAGAAGAGGGGGAAAGAGAGAATAGAGAATAATCGAGAAAAAGCTTTTCCCCTTCCTTGCTTTTTTTCTAAATTCTAAAAAAAAAAAAAACACGTGAGATTAAAACTCGCGATAGGAATATTCAGTAAATTCTCATGGGCGTGATAAAAGATAATTTAGCCTGTGACCTATGTCGCAGGTCATAAAGAACCGTGTTAATTAAATTTAAACGAGCAAATCATCTCTACAAATTGTGAAACAGGCAATTTAATCCGTATCTTCCTTTTTTAGTATTCTTTTTTCTTTTTTTTAATACGTTTTATAAAATAATTATGTCGTAATGTCGTCCGTCTACGATATCGAACATTAGCATGCAAAATAGCAATTCTTAAAGCGGTGCCCATCGTGAAATATAATTATTTCGTTATACAATTAAAGACACTTATAGACTTAATACAAAGTATATATAATATATATATATATTAATAGGATAGAGATAATAATAAACGTTCTTCTTGAAATCGGTAAATATCATTCTCGGTTGGATATTTTCATCCAATTCTGCAGCTTCTCAGTTACGCAATATATAAGAGGCAGTAAAATCTTTCGTTACATGGTATACCGTTAAAAGAGAAATTCCTCCAATAGAAAATTGTATCTATTAAATGACGTAACGATAGTAACGAACTGGTCTAAATTGATATTGATTGAATATAATAATAATAATAATAATAATAATAACAACAAGTAATACTGTATGATATACCCGAGCTACAGTTACGGATTTCACGAAGATCGATGTGAATGTTTTGTGTTAAAAAGTGTTGTACGTCTTTAAAGATGGATGAATAAGAATTAATTCATTCCATTCGATGAACGTGGATAATTGTTAGTAGTAAGTATGAATTAAAAAAAAAAAGAGAGAGAGAGAGAGAGACAGAAAGAGAGAGAGAGAAAACGATATATAATGGATAGATGACACAATCGGAATTAATAAGATAAGAATTGCTCTTTAATGTGAAACATACATCAATAGATGGTAACATAGCTGGTAAAAAACAGACTACAAGTCGTCGATCGAAATTCGATAAAAATTGTGCCCTGTATATAATATTAATTGACCCGAAATCAGATTGTTAAATATCCGCCCGTTATTTTTTTTTTTAATATCTCTAGCAATCATTGGAAGAAAAAAAAAAAAAAAAAAGAATCAAATCCCGCGTAAACGTAATTGTTTAGAACGAACGAATTACAATTATAATACACACAGATATAGCGGAGGATGTTCGTTTAGCTCGGCGTTTGTTATTATATAGTATATCGAAGAATTAATCGGAGTTTAAAAAAATGAAAATCAGTCGAATAATCATCGTACATGTGTGTAGCTCGTACATGTCAACAGATCTCGCAAATACTCGAAATCAATTTTGAAACCTTATTGTCTGTCTGGCGTATCGTAATGCGCGTGACTTTATATTAAATATTTTTATCAGGGGAGAAATTTCTTTTCCTCTATTGTCCTACTAAATGTTTCTAAAGCTGACTTACGTAGCCAAAAATGTTTCATTATGGATTATTGACTGGATTTCTAAAGATACTCTCGATCGTACGTGCACTCTTTTATTTTATTTCTTTATTTTTTTACTTCTTTCCGTTCAATCGATAATTTAAAAATCGATCAATTACAGCGCAATACTCGAATTCGCGAATTTCAAACAATTTGGACGGACGATCTTTTTTTCCGTTTCTTCTCTTTTTTCAATAGTTCTTTTTTTTCCCCCTTCTTTTCTTTTTTCTTTTCTTTTCTATTAATTAATTAACTCGAATGCACGCTCGATCGTATCTACCGGAAAGAAAAGTGAAAATACAACGATAGATGGGAGAATTGATTGCCGTCGTTTGCAACGAAGCTATTAGTAATATCAACACAATTGTGCTTATAAATCGTCTTAGACTTAAATCTTTTAGTAAAGATAAAGAAATAACTAATATACATCTAATTTCGTGCGAGCAATTATACGTATCCTACAAAATAGCATCGCAACAACCTTCGTTATCGTACACCCTCTACGTATGCATAAGCAAGAATCTCTACGAGTAATCGTTACATACGTATACGTATTAGGTAGAAAAACTAGCGATATAGATACAAACAGCTGCCCCTCACAACAAAGATCCCTAAAAAAACGTTATCAAAATTCATAATTACCCGACCTACCCTCGATAATACAAAATAATAAGTAACGCTCGAATGAATCTGTAGCATGCACTATCTACTTAGGGAGGGAAAAGAACAAAAAGAAAAAAAAACCTTATATATGTATATACGCGTCAATGTGAAATAATGGTAAACACGTAGTGCGAACGACGGCAAGCGAAGATATTCTCTATATTCGAAACGATCTAAACCGATCTACACGATTACATACATCCTCCCATCCCTAAGCTACACGATCGAAATACAGATTATGAAGCTGCAGTTTGATTGAAAAACACACGGTTGTCGCGCGTGTGTATACGTGTATATTTAGTGAATCGACGAAGATGCGCCCCAATCGATCGATGAGAACGACGAGTGGAAACGCGTAGGGGGATGTGTGACTGTTTACTGGTTCAGCTTCTTCGCGTAGACCTTGAACTGCTCGTAGGTGATCCAGAGAACGATGTTCCAGGAAACCAGGCGCGTGAAGCTGGGCACGAAGCCTTTGTAAAACGCGGATGGCCCTTCCTTCATCATCATACGAACAGCGCAATCCTTGACGCCTTTGTACTCGCCGGGGGCGCTGTTCATGTAACGAGTCTTCACCACGTCGACAGGGCTGGCGGCCAACGTGGTGCACAGCCCTGCCGCCACGGCGGCCGTGATGTGGCAGGGAATCCCATCGCGCAGGTATCCGTATTCCAAGATGAAATCCTTGATGATGTCGTAGCAAACGATCTCCGCCACGTTCACGATCGCGTTTCTCGAGATGTTGGGCATAGTTCCTTGAAGAAGGGAGAATTCATGATTAGTTTTAAGCGAGCGTTTGATCGAAAGCGAGAAACTTTCGTGTTGAAATTTTCGAAAATTTTAGAATCGACTCTAAGCTGCTAAGAAATATTTGATTAATTTTTCTTTATCGATGCAGCTCGTGAGTAAGATTTGAAATTTAAATCAATCCATAAATGTTGTTATGTTTTTTTACGACAGTTAGAGAATACAATCGGAGAATATAAATTATTTCTTATCGCTTAAAGCGTTTATTGTTTCAAAAATTCGATCAACCGCGGACACGTGTACGCTGAATACACAAAGCTCTTTTTTAACCGGATTTTTTTCGAAATTTTCGACTAATGTCACGAATCCTTTATCAATAGAAATTTGCAACGAGTCCGCATACTCGGCCAGAACATAATATATCACATATCATATCGCTCGAATTCGATTTAATTGTAATAGAATTTGAACGATGGGGTACCTTTCCAAAGGCCCCGCGTTCCTTCTTCGGCAGCGATATTCTTGTACGCTTGCAGGGTGGAGCTATATCTCACCGATCGTCCATTACTTCCAGCCTGTAGGCGTACCTTGACGACGTCGGTCGGTTGAGCAAAGAGCACCGCCAGGGCGCCTGTCGTGATTCCAGCGGCGATTCGTACGGAGATACTCTTCGATCCGCTCGCGCTCCTGTTATTACCTGTCAAGATAAAAGAATACGGTGAAAAAACGGCTCGTTCCAATGTTTATTTGTCTGGGTTTGTATCGAGATATGCACGTTACACGCTCTGCGTTTCACGGTTCTCAAATCGATAAAAAAGTAATTAGGATGCAGGGTGGGACAAGATCGCGCTCTGCGCGGTAACAGCACGTTTATTGGCTTATTGATTATCATCACGTTACAATCAACGCTCAGTCTAAATAATTTTCACGTCACGAGGGTTTATTTCTCGAACCACGATTTCACATTCTACTAGAGTACAATGTGTTGCGACAAGAACTGGGTCAAGTACTGATACGAGATGATACGAGGCTGATACTCGAGATCAACTATGAATACGTTTTATAATTTATTATAATATATTATTGATTTTATTTCTCGTTATTTCTCTTTTTCTTTTCTTTTCTTTTCTTTTTTTTTTTTCGAAAAAGAATACGAAGAAAAGTAGTGTATTCCAAAGTTATATTATCCGCAAAGGTATGATGGAAAAATGTATGATTGATCTCGAGTATCATCGCGTCATCGACTTTACACGGTTTTAGCAACTTTCTTGATGCAAGTAAAATGATCCGTTTAAGAGGTTCAGTTACAAATACGGCGATAAGTTACGCAAGGAAATAGTTTACAACATGCCATGAAGGGTCAAATTCGAAATTCGCGTTACGACCGTTTAGCTTCTGATTAAGATATTTTATCCTCGATAAGAGATTAATTATAAATGACCGATAATAAAATTATCACGATCGACTCCACGCATACATACATGAAAAATACCGGAAACATACATGCTTGCTTTCTTATCGATATAATGCTAATATTAATTTACACGCGATTAGCAGAAAAATTTAATAGAATGGAATTCGATTGAAAAATCGTATCGGTTACGAGAGATCGAACTGTGCATTTTCTTTTCCTTTTTTTTTCTTTTTTTCTTTTTTTTTTTTCTTTTTTTACTATTGTTTTTAAATTTCGAAAGAAAAAAAAATATACATATATAAAAAAAAATACCGTTTATCGATCGTTCACGAATAGTACACGCAATAAATAACAATAGCACATAAAATTAATTTACAAATAATCCAAATTGCAGGGAGAAGAGTACAAACGACATACTACTCTTGAGGCAGTGATTATCTGTAAGCCTTCTTTCTTCCTTTACTTCCCTTTCGACGGTCGACTCTAGATCGTAGAAATGACGACGATCAGCTATGCGAGACGTCTACATTAACATCTGCGTTAATCGATTGAAATAGCATTAGAAAAAAAAAAAAAAAAAAAAAAACAGTTGAAAGAAAAGGAGAAACGGTGCATACAGCATCACGATCCGGGATTGCTGCATTTTGACTCGCGATATCGAAAGTAACTCGACGCGAGGGTATCTTGCGAGAGTTCTTTTTTTTTTTTTCTCTCTTGTTATATGTCTACATATATATATATATATATATATAGTAGTTATATATATAA